CCTCACCACCTACCCGGCAGGGATTGGATCCCAGAGTGCGGCTACATGCGATGACTCAATTGGACTCTTCATCCAACTATCTACCCGCGTCACCAATCGTATGCAGTCGTGTCTCAAAGAGCACCAGGGTCAAGTACCGTCCTACTCCCTCCGCCAGCCTCAGCACTCTAGAACCAATTTATAAACCCATGCAGATCGACTCTACACGGCTACTGTTTACAGAGGGGCAGAGGTGCCTGCGGTGCTGGGAGGCATATCATCTCCGGATGCCCCATTCGTCCTCCACGTACTATGGTGAGTGTATTGAAGAACCCCATCACAAATTCAAAACCAATCACCACCACTGTGACTCTTGCTGCTGATAATGTATCTCTCCCAGTTCACGCCCTCCTTGACTCTGGGTCAGCCGGGAATTTCATCTCCGGAAGCCTCTGCCGCCTACTCCACCTCCTGACGACCGCTACCCAGACAGTCTACCAGGTCCAGTCGGTGACTGGACGACCACTGTGCCGCAAGCATGTTCGCAACAGCACTGGTCCCATCGAGCTACGGGTTGGCCAACTCCACGTAGAGTCTATCCACCTCTTGGTTCTGGAGAATTCCCCTGCTGAGGTGATCTTAGGGCGCCCATGGCTTGTGCAGCATGATCCCATCATCTCCTGGAGAACTGGCGAAGTCCTGAAGTGGGGCAGGAAGTGCTTTCCTGATTGCTTCCCTCTAAGCCTTCGTCCTGCTCTGGCCGAGGTGCTGCCTGTGAACTCCACCTCCATTGAGAGCCCCGTCGAGAAGCAGGTCGACATCCCAACCTGCTATGCCCCCTTCAGTGACGTCTTCTGCCCTAAAAGAGCCCTCTCTGCTGCCTCCACATCGGCCATGGGACTGCGGCATCGACCTGATGCCGGGTGAACCAGTGCCCTACGGGAAAATGTATCCCTTATCACTCCCCGAACAGAAGGCCATGGAGGAGAATGTAGAAGAGGCCCTCCAACAAAGTTACATCCGCCTTCTACGTCCCCTGCTGCTTCGAGTTTCTTCTTCGTGCCCAAGAAGGACGGAGGCTTGCAGCCTTGTATTGATTACTGCTCCATGAACAAGATAACCATCAAATTCCGCTATCCTCTTCCCCTCGTCCCAGTTGCACTAGAACACCTCCGTGGAGCTAAGGTGTTCACCAAGTTGGACCTCCGCAGCGCGTACAACCTCCGATACGTGAGGGGGACGAGTGGAAGACCGCCTTTGTGACCCCTACTGGACACTACAAGTATCTCGTCATGCCGTATGGTCTGGTAAACGCCCCCTCCGTATTACAGGACTTCATGCATGAGGTGCCCCGGGAGTATCTCCATCGATTTGTCCTCGTCTACATAGATGACATCCTCATCTACTCCCAGAGTATGGCCGACCATCGCCACCTTGTTGCGGAGGTCTTGAAACGACTGAGGGAATTCAACCTGTTCCTTAAGGCTGAGAAATGCTCCTTCCACCACCCCTCAGTGCAGTTCCTTGGTTACCACATCAGTGACACGGGTATCCAGATGGACGAGGGGAAGGTGGAAACCATCAAGAACTGGCCCACACCATACACCATCAAAGAACTCCAGCGTTTCCTTGGCTTTGCCAATTTCTACAGACGGTTCATCCACGGCTACAGCTCCATCAACAATCCTCTCACCAGCCTCCTAAAAACAAGCCCAATTCTCTGTCCTGGTCACCATCTGCCAACGAAGCCTTTCAACATCTGAAGGAGAAATTCACTAGTGCACCGCTCCTTGTCCACCCAGACCCCGAGAAACCCTTAATCGTAGAAGTGGATACCTCCACCAACGGGGTAGGAGCTGTGCTATCTCAGCAGCAGGGGACCCCAGCCAAACTCCATCCATGTGCCTTCTACTCCAAGAAACTCAGCCCGGCGGAGAGTAATTACTCTCACTGTTATAACCGACCACAAGAACCTGCAGTATCTAAAGGAAGCTAAGAAACTTAACCCCCGCCAGGCACGTTGGGCCTTATTTTTTTACCCGATTTAACTTTTCCATTTCCTATCGTCCAGGCTCTAAGAATGTGAAGGCTGACACTCTTTCCCGTCTCTATGCTCCAGAAGAGGTCAGCGAAGAGCCTGAATCCATCCTCCCAAGTGAAATAATCGTGAGTCCTATCCAATGGTCTGAAGATTCCATCACCTCCTCCAATGCCTCCAACGCTACTCCGTCGGGCTGTCCCCCCGTACGTCAGTATGTCACCAGAGCATGACGCACACCTCTGATTCACTTAGGGCACTGGCCACCCAGGGGCCAATAACACCGTCTCGCTGCTAAAAGATCGCTTCTGGTGGCCTAACATGGCCAAGGATGTGAGAAGGTTCGTCCAAGGATGTGCAGACTGCGCCATGGCCAAGAATCCTTGCCACCTACCATCTGGCAAACTTCTGCCGCTGCCCGTTCCCAACCGGCCATGGTCACACCTAGAAGTAGACTTCATGACAGATCTCCCAGCCTCTGATGGTAATACATGCTTCCTGGTAATAACTGATCGATTCTCCAAATCCTGTTGACTTCTTCTCCTCAAAGGACTCCCCACAGCAATGGAAACAGCAGAACTCCTCTTCAACCACATCTGGACATTGGTGGTGGTTGAGGAGATTCCCCCTTCCATATGTGAAGTGCTTTGAGTACCTAGAAAAGCGCTATATAAAAATGAACAAATTATTATTATTATCTTTAGATATTATGGAATTCATGAAGACATCATGTCTGACTGTGGACCACAATTCATCTCCAAAGTCTGGAAAGCATTCTTCTCCCTCCTAGGTGTGACCATAAGTCTCTTATCCGGATATCATCCGCAGTCGAACGGGCAAACCTTGCGGAAGATCGGAGAGATTGGTCGCTTCCCTCGAACCTTCTGCCATGGCCACCAGAACTCTTAGAACCACTTCCTAGGCTGGGCCGTGTACGCCCAAAACACCCTCTCTGCCAACCAACTACTGGACTCACTCCTTTCCAGTGCGTACTCGGTTACCAGCCACCTCTGTTCCCGTGGTCTGGGGAACCATCCGACGTTCCAATGGGGGGTTACTGTTACAGATCAGCCAGGATCTCACACCAGCCAATCACAGCACACTCCCTCACCTGAGTTCTAATCACACACACCTGCACCTCATCATCACCATCCTCACCACCACTATAAAAACAGACTCTTCACCTCAGTTCACTGTCCGGTCTCGTTCATTTGAAGAGGACTACTTACCCTGTTATTGCTAACCTTGATTCTATAACGACTATACTCCAGCGTCTCCATCTCCATTGTCTCCAGTATCTCCATTTCCAGCATCTTCAGTGTTCTTTGTTCCAGTCATCCGTCTCACCCACGATCTGTCTCTATACCTGTAAGATAAACCATTCCACTCATCGCCTGCTCTCCAAAGTATCTTTGTTCATATCACTTACCTACATTCTGTCACCACTCATTGTTGTCAATAAACTCCTGTTAACTTCATTATCCATCTCTTGAGTTTGCTTCCGTAACAATTTTACCATTATTTTTGTCAACATCGGAAACTCCAACAGCCTTCTTTCATTTGATAGATGGCCTATTTTAATTTTTGATAAGCTGCAATGATTTTTCAAGAGGCTATATTTTCCTCATCCCTTTTAAACAAAACTTTATTATATATTATTAAATTGTATACATGATAAAATTACCAAGTGTCATAGGTTTTTTTTTTGTACTTCGTTATACAGACTATTTAGATCAATACTACTTGAACATCACGCAATATTCAGAACCACTGTAGTCACATGGACTCTTACTACCTTTCTAGGCCTTGAAAGTGGTTATGACATTGCAGTCTATAGGGGGGTCAGAATCTCAGAAAGCTCTCGGATTTAATAAAAAAATATCTTAATTTGTGTTCCAAAGATGAACGGTCTTGCGGGTTTGGAACGACATGAGGGTGAGAAATTACTGACAGAAATTTCATTTTTGTGTGAACTATCCCTTTAAGATGTGTAATCAAGAAAAAAAAAATATTAGACAAAATTAAAAAAATAAAGATGAATTATGTTTGGGAGGTAACATCTTATTCTAAACATACATATACCAACAGTAATAAAATAATTGTATATAAAATGTAATAACATGCATATAATATATTTAATACACCTTTGAACATTACAGAGAAACAGTGCCTTAATGGGAGCAACACCACAAACACGGAAGCTGCTAGGCTAATCCTTTCATGGGATACAACATGTATTTGCGTTAAAGCCCTATTTCTTGGCAAAAAGTGTTTCCAAACTAATTTTTGCAATATTTGAAGTACTGATATAGAATTTATACGCTAAAGTTAAACAGAAAAGGATTGTGGACACTTGAGAAATTTTAATAGATAAATGGCACTTCAATCAGCTAGATCGCTAAACATTTTGAAGCACTAAAAAAAAAAATCCTTGGATGGAAACCTGGCTATTGATGTCTATCTGACACGGCGAATGTACATGTTCATAATGGTGTCCATATTGAAACATCACAACAAAAGCCTACAATCTTAATGCAAATACAATGTGAGGTGTGTGTATCCGTGGAAGCTGTTGTCTACACGCTCTAGTTGTCTTCCTCTCCTGTCATTCTCTGGAGAGCAGAACTTGCTAACACACAGCTGGGCCTGCAGTGTGTCCTGCCAGCCCTGTAATTCAGCTCAGGTGAGACTGTGATGGGGTTGGTCGGGTTCGAGCTGCATGCATCTTTATGAGCGCAGTAATGCAATGATAACTGCTCAGTTCCACATTAACATCAGCTGCTTCAGCACTGAGAGTCTGTTGTCTCTGCTAAAGAAAGACGTCTTTCTACCGTCTGTTATATGACCGTCTCTGGCCTCCAGGCTCTACTAACCACATACAGTGCATTAGGTTTCATCTCAGCTCAGTAAAAACAGAGTGAATGACTGAAAACTAGGCTAATGTTCGACCTGAACACACACCGCTGCGCCACAAATTGACAGTTCACATGTGCGTGAGTTTGCGTTCATCTGAGAGCATGTGCACACACGTGCATTTGTGGCTGTTTGATCATCTGTGTTTACCCAGCAGGAGAGGTCAGTACAACAAATGAAACAATGTCAGTTTATAAGCGGATTATGGCTCTCACCAGCCCCCCTGTGCGAGCAGGAGATGGCGCAGTCCGGCAGCTAAATGGCACCCACAATTCACAACAACAAAACCACAATGACAGAAAAGTAACCGTGAATTACGTTGGCCCTGCTGAATTGGAAGATAAATCAGCATAGGCAGCACTTCAGAGTGCCAGAAAATACAACATTAAAAGCTTGATTTTCACCACAGGTGGACTAAGGGAAAGATTATCAGTGAATAACAACTTAAATTCTGGTCTTTTAATGGTACTTTTATGATGCTTATTTGTAATTTTTGGAGCTTGACAGCCACAATGTAAACAAATATTCAGGATAAAATGATAAGGACTGGAAAAGTCATATTGTTCGAGCCCTAATCTGAATATTCACTGCATATGTCCCCTCAATGTCTATGCAAGTTACAGCCCTCAGTATAAATCAACATCTACTTTATATGCAATAGTGCAGCATGAATATTCTGCTAAAAATGTCCACTTGTGTTCCACTGAAGAAAGAAAATCATTAGAATGAAATACCGGTGAACAAATGATGACAGAATTAAAATTTCTCAGTGAACTAACCCTTTAATAAGCACTAGTGTGGATTATTCTTTTTCATTTCATTCAGTGCAGTAATACGGTCACTCAGGGTGACGCCGTCAGCCGTGTGGTATTATCAGTGTCATCTAAAGAAAGGCTCTCGTCTAATTGGATGGAATAGAGGATTCAAACCGACATGATGATGCCGAAATTGGTACGAAGCCAACATTGATTTTCATTTATTGCGCTAATGGCTCATTTTGATTTAGGCCATAACTCTGACTCTCTTGGAGAGATGAGAAGAGATCTCGTTCATTGAGGCCAGACGGGCCAAAAACAGCAGCATTAACATGATGAGAGGGGAGTTGATTGGACTGGCTGGTAATTGCGGCACATTACGGTGTGTGTTTATGAGAAGTGTTGTTGATCTGTGAATAGCAGAGGAGGTTACGGTCATGTCATACACCTTCAAGCTACTCATGATTACTGCCATCATCAATGTCATCATCATCATCATCTTCTATTTAAACAGCTCAATGACACCTCAACACCTTCAGCATTCCAGAAACCATTGGGTGGCAGATGTGACTAGCTAATAACCATTTTCTACGAGACAAACTTCCTCTAGAGGGCGCTAGGCGGGTCAGAAAGCTGAATCATCCATAGGGTTATTTTCATCTCTAGATGTTTAATTTGAAACAGTGGTACAACTAAAAAGCATAATTATTTAAATCTATTAATTAGAATGATTTCGCCCTGAAGAACAAAAAAAAATTTAAATTATATAAAAATCCTCATTCATGTAACCACCAGCGCTGAGAAAAGTAACAGGTGCCATCCCAGGGAGCAACATAGTGTCGGCCCAGATCCGGCCCACATCTGGTACACGTGGATTCCACAAGGCCCAGATGTGTGGGCCGGATCTGGGCCGACAATATCTTGCTGTTTGGGATGTGGCATCACCTTAATTTATTATACCTGAATTGTAGGTGTGGTCACACCATGTCAGAATTACCATAATTACGAGATTCTGACTTGCAAAAGTCGTTCACGTCCTTGTAAAATTCGTAATTACAAATTTTCAAAGAGCTCTGACTTGTACCACCTGACTGTTGCAGATTTATTATGCAGTTGATAGTGTTGCCATAGAAATGTCTAATTCCGAGTTCAAGGACGTGAACCGCTTCAAGCAAAACGTCACTGGTTGTCATCTCGTTTTACGGCAATTACGACATGTCGTGAAGACAGCAAATATGATATCTAATTTGAGACACTGGTACAGCTAAAAAGCATAATTATTCAAATAATTAGAATGATTTATCACTGAAGAACAAATTAAAATTTCCCTATAAAATGATACAAATCCACTTCAAGTAATCACTGTTGGGTCCAGTGTTGAGAAAAGTAGCAGGTACCATGTGACATCACTTGAATTTAAACCTGAACAATGACATTCATTCATCATTCACACGAACTTCTAGGGTCATAGGGCTGGAGCCTATCCCAGTTTCTTAGGCCAGAGGCAGGGAAAAGCCCCCTGGACAGATGGACAGTCCATCACAGCGAATAATGACATAGAGGAACTTTAATAGCCACTGAACTTAAAAAAATAAAATAAAATGTGGCTATAGTGAAAGCAGATCAGCCAGATGCATTGTGGGTAAAAGGAAGAGGCTAAAGCACTTACCTTAGTGTGAAGTTTCGACAGCTGTTTTTCATCCAAGTGGGTCTGTGTGTACACTCGCCTCTTGTAGCGAAACTGCCAAAACAAAACACACAGCATGGATTAGCCTTAAAGCGCTGTTAATATCACAATCTTAGTTCTCTATAACATCGTTCAGTTATAGCCATGTTTGCTGAAACTGTTAAGTGGAAGAAGACAGACTGTGCTTGAGTGTGAACTGCTGTAATCATAACTGTGAGCTGCTTAAACATCTGCACATCAGATTACAGCTGCACTCAGGATCACAGTCCTCTAATAGAAAACCTGCTGTGAATCATCAAACTGCATATTCAGGCAAAACATGAGGAACATGACAGCAGAGTCTTTTAAAACACGCACAGGTGAGAAAATTACAACATAAAAACAGACAAATTACTTTAATGTCTCTGTCTTAAATATTAATGTAAAAAAACGAACAAATTCAAAATGAATCAATTTCCTGTGGGTCAAGAAAGGTTAAAGTTCATGCAATTCTTTTTTTTTTTATTATTATTTTTTTATTATTATTAGTGAATTAAGACTTCAGTCTGTTACTCACACAAAGCTATAGTAAGACTTCAATATACAGTGAAATAGTATTATCGAACACTTGTACTTGTATGGAATTTTTAGGTAAATAAAGGGTTGATGAAGATCAGCCAGTAGAAATTAAATAATTATATAAAATATTTAATAATATTTTACTTACAATATTATAAAGAATTTAGAAATAATACAGGCTCTTTCCATTTGTCCAAATGTCCATTACTAAAAATTCTGACTAAAACTATTGCCCAATATTCAATCATTTAGTGTTATTTATATTTATCAAAAGTGTTTCATTTAGGATAAAACACGGTTATGATCGCTTCACCCAACGGTTCTATGTATCACTACACAACACCCCCTAGCAACCACTCTTAGCAACTTAAACATAATGTTCTCATTGATATTAGCCATTGAAGCTTATAGAGTATTGTGAGAGACTGAGTAAATGAGTGTACCTGCATTTACAGTAGATATAGCATTTTCCTTCAGGTCAGTCCTATATTTGTAATAAAAAATCCGTTTGATGGTCCACAGCGCTATCTTGTCCTTTTAAGAGTTAAGGGGTTTTCCTGTGCCCTTACAGGCAATCCATTTGTCAGTTGCGCCCATAGACATAATAAATACATAGACGCCCTATTGGCTGCTTTGGAACGTTGCTGCGCTACGTCAACGCGTCCGCCATTTTGCGGAGGGCAAGACTGCACTGTAATCAAATGCAAGTAAACGGTGAGCTGCGGTTTTTCTGAATGATTAAAAAAAAAAATACATTTATCAACTGATTTCAGTGGTTTGTACGTGGTGTACAAAAAGTTCCATCTCTAGTTATTTAAAATCTCAAAAGTTAGACTTATAAAAAGTTTTTTGGTTGCGCCCACAGGTCGCATTGGTCTTGCTTTTCCGTGTTCACAAGTTTCAGTCCTTTCAGTATAAAAGTCTTTACTGACTGACTCAATCATAAAGACAGTCGTTGCCGCCATCTAATTGTTTTCTAGATGCATTTACACTGTTTTATCGCTTTTGTTGTTAGGTTCAGTAACTTGCTGTTTTGGGAAATCTGGAGTTCATTTTCTACTCAAAATGTCCCATTCATACTCAAAAACTATCCACTGATTGTTACCGTTATTTGTGTACTGTGGTCTCTGTGTTCAGTTGAGTACTTCCTTTATTGTGTAGATATGTTGTCTTACAAAGTGTAGCTAACAAGAAATCTACAGGGTTTTTTTTTAATTAAATGTTTCCAAGTAAACCATACGCTTTAAAAGCATGTCTTAATCTAGTGCTGCATTGTTTGAGTAAATTTTACAAACAAAGAGTGAGTAAAATGTACTTGAAACAGAGAATTGCAAAGTACGCTTCAAATGAGTAAGTAGAAGTTACTCAACAAACCGTAACTTGCCAAGTTAAGTTTACTTATTATCTTTGTTAATCTTACGTAACTTAGTTAAGTAGATTTTACTCAATTCTATACATGTGAAATGTGCTTTAAAGTATAAAAGCAATAACTTGCAAACGTTAAAATTTTAACTAGACTAGCAGCAGTTATTGTTAAAAGGAATGCACAGGCTTTGGGGATGAAAGGTGAAGTCTGTCATTTTTACACCACAAGGGGCACCAAATAAGCAAAAATCACTAAAATAATGACTGCTTCCATAGCCCTAAACTCACATCATTGATTGAGCCGAAAGTTTTACATGTCGCTAAAGCATATCAGCTAAAGAAATAGAGCAAAAAGTTTAAAGTCCCACTATGCTACTTTTATATTCTTCATGAAGTCAACTTACAAATGTTGTACTTACAATGGTCTCTGATCATTAACTTAGGTAGCCTATTCAATTAAATTAAATTAAATTTTTATTTATATAGCGCCATTTCAACAACCAGAAAGGAGCACAAAGCGCTTTCCATAAAACACACAAAAAAGACAGCAGTACATAAAAGTTGCAAATTAAAACTAATTTAAGCAGTTAAAACAAAATAGCTAACACAACAACTACAGGTTACATGTTGAAAGCCTTCCTGAAAAGAAACGTTTTCAACTGTGATTTAAAAACACTCAACACAGTTATGTTACGAAGGGGAGTAGGGTAAGGCATTCCACAAAGTAGGTCCCTGGATGGCAAAAGATCGACCTCCAAAATTTGAACATCTAAACTTAGGGATAATCAAAGTGGTGTTCTGAGAGGAGCGGAGGGTTCTGGCAAGTTGGTATACAGTGACCAGCTCGGAAAGGTATGCCGGGGCCAGACCATTGATGGCCTTAAAAACAAACATCAAAACCTTATACTCCACCCTAGACCGTACCGGGAGCCAGTGAAGTAAGCAAAGAACGGGGGTGATGTGTGAGCGTTTATGGGTATTGGTAAGTAGACGCGCTGCTGCGTTTTGAACCACCTGAAGACAGTTAAAAAGTGATTGGTTAAGCCCAGTATAGAGGGCATTACAGTAATCCAGCCTTGAGCTGATAAAGGCATGAATGGCTTTTTCTAGATCAGCACGGGACAGGGATGAATTCACCTTACTGAGGAGCCTTAGCTGGAAAAAGCTAGTCTTAACAACTGCACCAATCTGTTTGTCAAAAATCTAGAAATCTAGACGCACCCTAGCGGCAGCAAATTTTAGTTTGCAGCCAGGGTGGTCTAGCAACTCTCCGTTGGCTTGCGAGCTAGAAAAACCAAACTCTGGTCAGGTCAATCACATCGTGTATAGAGTCGGCGGGCGAGCTTAACATAATGACGACAGAGTTGCGACGGTTCACTGCTACTTGAAAACAAAGAATGGCTGCTGCTGCTGGCGAACAGGGGTCTTTCGAATCGGCTTTGGCCGCGACTCTGGAGGACTTGGGGTTAAGCTTTTCTTTGAGAAAAGAACAAAGAACGGCACTTACGTCATTCTTAAAAAAGGAAGATGTGTTCGTAGTTTTGCCGACCAGATAAGGCAAAAGTTTAATCTATTAACTAGCTCCGCTGGTGGGAAATTGCTCTGTTTGGTTGTAGCTATTGCGTGCAGAGGGAATTTGAAAGACAACTGTTTATCCCGCCCCTCGGATTGAACTCTGCCAATGGTGAGTTCCCAGACCCAACATCTTGATGTGGGTCTGGCTTGCCAGGCTATAACTTAGGAGAAAGTATTTTCGAAACCATCAAAAAAAATATACACTTCGCTCTTAAAGGGATACTTCGCTCATTTAATCATGCATGTGTCAATGCAAACATGTGCAACTATTTTGTCTTGGATGGGTGTTGATCACTCTTTTCCATGCAATTGCAATGAATGCATGGAGAGGGAGCTTTCAGAACCTAAAGGTCAAAAAGGCCCCATGACAGTAGACCATATAATGTTGGTATAATGCTTAATGGTATAATGTAATGCTTTATTTCCATGACTTCTGAAGTCATGTGTCAAAATAAAATAATAAATAAATAAAATAAAATAAAAGTTAAGATTAATTGTGTTTTATATTAAAATAAATGGTATTTCAGTCTTTCTACTTCAAAATCTCACATTTAATTCAATGTGTTCACATTTTTTCCGTGAATAAATGTGCCAAGGATAGCTGGGCGAACATCTGGATTTCAGTGAATAACGACTAAAATTTCAATCTGTAGCAGTGGCGGAGGAAGAGGAAGCTCTTTTTTTTTTCTTTTCTTTTTTTTACTCGACTGTCAGGTGCGGGGATGGTGAAAAGAGCGAGGACTCAGATTCAGAGTTGATTTTATTTTATTAATAAAAATAAAAAAATACAAACAAAAACTACGAACCAGCACAGGACAAGGAGAATAAATGGGGAGCAAAACAGGCAGGTAACGAGGGAGGACAGGTGGGGCAAAATAACTAATAATCAGGAAACAAGATGGGAGTCGACACAATCTACAGGAGAGCACATGGCACAAGGAAAACACATGATAAGCCATGTGCTCACACCAAACATGACAAAAACACAAACACATGGCCAGTAAAACAAATTACAAGCAATTGTGCCCACACAAAATGAGACATGAAGAACAATGAGAACACTCATAAGCCACGTGTCCCCACAGAACATGACAACATGAAAGCACACAGCTAGTGTAAAACACAAGCTGTGCTACACAGCAAAAGACAAAACATGACATGAAAGCACGCGGCCGATGTAAACACGAACCGTGCGCTACACAAAACACAACACACTGAACAGAACGTTACGCATGAGAACGACCATAAGCTTATTCTGTGCGCTCACAACAGAAAACAAACACGCGGAGCACGCATGTCCGAATCCCCACACACAAACCGAGAAGGAGATCGAGTCAGCCGACCTGCTATATGCAGGGCTGGACTGGGACAAAAAATCGGCCCGGGCATTTTGGCCCAGACTGGCCCACTATATAACACAACCGAACTTTGCACGCCCTTGAATATGTATACCAACTCCTATTAAAACCACTAATGCCATAAGTGAATAGGAGTGAGTAAGAGTTAACCGATGAAAATAACTACTAAGTTGAACTATACTCCACACAGTGATGAAT